GGCGGAATTCCCCGGCGCCGCCGGCCTGCGCGCCCATTGGCCTGCACCCCATCGTGACGTCACGCTAGGGGAACGGGAAAACCCCCACGCGTCACGTGGTCGCGGGGGCGGGGCCGGCCGGGAAGAGGAGGCTGGGCGCACAGGAGGGGCTGGGCGAGCGCCGCTGCCCAGTGCTCAGGGGGGAGACAACTGAGGCTTGTTTAGGGCCACTCACGTCCTACCCCGGGAGCAAGTTGGGAAACTGAGGCCCGCCCCCCAGGTCTGCAAGCGGGAGCTGAAACTGCTGTTTCTCTGTAAGGGAAGCTTCGGGATCGGGAGGTTGCCAGGGCTCCAGCTGCCATTGGTAATAATGATCTTTACGAAAACCTCCGCAGCCTCTCTATGCCTCAGTTTCTTCAAGGGTGAACTGGGACTGAAGGTACTTAAACGTTTAAAGCTAGAATGCCGGTTTTAGGATTTGTCTGTCTTGTTCCTGGCTCTAACCCTAGCGCCTAGAACATCCCTTGGAACACAGTGGGTGTCCATTAAATGTTTAGTGCATGGATGGATGTTTCATTCTTCCCCCGTTACCCCTTCAAGTTTCCCAATGGCCCAGAACACTTTTACCTCGAGGGCTCAGCAACTCATTGTGGGCACGGTGACCGCCGAGCCCCCAGGGTACATGTTAAGCTGACCCCTGAGCAAAGGGCTTACCTGGGGCCTTATATCTCACAGCTTGCACCAGCCTCGGAGGCATGTGATCAGATTACCATTATTGCAGAGCAGGAGCCTGAGGCTCAAAGAGGGGCAGCTATTTGGTTAGGTCACATTCCTAGGCCTTCCCTGTTTGTCCCTGAGAATGACCGGTTGACCATTAGGTCCTAATTTGCCAGGGTTTAGCATCCTGTGCCCACTCGTGTCAAATTGTCACCCCTTCTCTCCGTGACCCATGCGGACTCATTGATTCATTTGACATACACTTACTGAGCACCTGCTGTGTGCCAGGGCCTGCACTGGGCACCGGGTCACAGCACTCACCATGCCAGGCCTGGTGCCTCCTCGTGGAGAGCAGAATAGGGTACAGCAGCAGTCTCAAAGTGTGGCCCTCGGGCCTTCAGGTGATGCAGATAGCTGAAGCCCAAGTGTTGCCCTGGAGCAAAATATCAAGCAAACCTTTTCCACAAAAAAGCAGCCAAAGACAGCACAGAAACAATGAGCACGGCCATGTCCCAATAAAACATTATTTTATGGGCGTTGAAACTTGGGCTTTGTAGAACTTTCATGTGAAACGAAATATTTTTGAGATTTTTTCTTCCAACCACTCAAAAATGTAAAAATCACGCAAAAACTGGAAAAAGCTCGTTTTCACCTGGAGGCTGTAGCCTGCATTTGACAAGAGCATTGCAAGAGAGGTTATGATTCGAGGGTCCAGAATCAGGCTGTTGGGGTTCAAATCGTAGGTCTCCCACTTACCAGCTGTGTGGCCTCAGGCAACTGACTTCGTCTCTCAGCCTTGGTTTCCCCATCTGTAAAATGGGTCTTATAATAGGATGGTTGTCAGGATTAATAAGATACTAAAAATAGTTGACACTATAGCTCTATATGTGCTAGGCACTGTCCCAACAGCTGAGGACAGAGCGAGAAAGACGACAAATAAAACCCCTGCCACCATGGAACTGAAACCGAAGGTGGGGGAGGACAGATGGAAAAATAGAGAAGCAGGGCACCTGGGGGGCTCAGTCAGTTCAGCAGCCGACTCTTGATTTTGGCTCAGGTTATGAACCCAAGGGCTTGGGATCGAGCCCTGTGTCGGGCGGAGCCTGCTTAAGATTCTTATTCTCTCTCGGGCTGCCTGGGTGGCCCAGTCGGTTGAGCGTCCGACTTCGGTTCAGGTCATGATCTCGCAGTCCGTGAGTTCGAGCCCCGCGTCGGGCTCTGTGCTGACAGCTCGGAGCCTGGAGGCTGCTTCGGATTCTGTGTCTCCCTCTCTCTGCCCCTCCCCCACTCCTGCTCTGTCTCTCTCTCTGTCAAAAATAAACATTACAAAAAAAAAATTTTTTTTTAAAGATTCTCATTCTCTCTTTCTCTCTCTCTCTCTGCTCTCCCTCTGCCCCTCTCCCCTGTTCATGCTCTCGCTCTCTAAAATAAAAAATAAAAATAAAGCAGATAAGCAAACGTGTATCTGGTGGCGACCGCAGCATTACAGAATAAAGCAGGATGTATAGATTGAGTTTGGAGGGTGCTGTTTGGATTAGGAAGTTCAGGGAAGGTCTGAGATGACGTCTGAACAGAGTCGAAATGGTGAAGACTCTTTGTGGCTAACTAGAGAAGTGTTCAAGACGCAGGAAACAGCAAACGCAAAGACCCTGAGGTGGGCACGTGCATGGCATGTTCGAGGAACAAGGAGGCTGGGGTGACCGCTAGAGAAGTAGACGAAGCAAGAGTTAAATGTGCCCTGTAAGGCGATGGGGACATTGAGTAACATTAAATTTAACAGATGAAGTGAACCGCATACAAACCTCAGGCTAGAGTTTGGCTCCAGATAAGGAACATCTAATAGCGGCTCCTAGAATAGGACCAGGAGCCCAGTCGGTCCCCCCCCCCCCCCCCCGTCCCTTGCAAACATCTGGCCTCATAACTGTTTAATTGGGTGGATAACCAAAAGCACAGGCCAGAAATCCCCAGCATTCGGGGCTTCTGCTGGGCTCTGAGCACCCTGAGGGCAGGCTTGGGGCTATCTTGGTCTCTGCTGTGTAAGCAGAACCCCCACCCCCATCCCCGCTCAGTGCAAGGTGCAGGGGAGGTGCTCAGGAAAAATCTGTGGACTGACTGCATGTCAGTCTCTCCACCGGTGTGTTAATGCAGGCCCCGCCAAGGTCCACACTTCTGGATGTGTACCTGTCTGTGAGAGACTATACAAACATGTGCTCAGCCAACATCCCCAGAGGACAGAGCAGTGACTGAGACAGCTCTGGCTCTGTGCTCACAAGGCTCAGTCCAGTGGAGAATAACCTGTCCCTAGACAGGGATGACTCATAGTGGGCAGGGCTGGGGTGAGAGATCAGGGAGCTGGGGGTCCCGGATCAGGTAGTCAGGGAGGACTTCCTGGAGGAAGAGATACTGGAACTGCAATGTGGGGGAACGCCTAGGGTAAGATAATGAGTTGTGTGCCTCAGGGCACGTCCAAGGGAAGGGAAGAGCAGGGTCTAGAGCCAGAAGGTAAGAGACCATGGCAAGTTAAAGCAAGGGTGATGAGGGGCGCCTGGCTGGCTCCGTCAGTGGCTGGAGCGTGCAGCTCTTGATCTTGGGATTGTGAGTTCAAGCACATTGGGCATAGAGATTACTTGAAAATCTTAAAAAAAAAAAAAAAAAAAGCAAGACGAGGCTGTGGGGGTGAAGTCCCTCCCATCCCCTCAAGGTCTCGTTTATTAGGGGCCTGGACTCTTCTCCTCAGCATACTGGGAACCACAGTAGGTTCTGAACAGGGCACAGGCAGGGTCAAGTCTGCGCCTTAGAAAACCCTCTGGCTGCTGAGTGGAGAGTGGACGGGAGGGGCAGGGACAGACAGGGAACAGCTTGGACCAGGTGGTCTCAGTGGGTGTGAAGAGGTGGGACTCCCGAGTGTGGGGGGTACGGCCGGTGGGCCTTGCCAAAGGCTTGGGCGTGTGCCTGCGGGGGGCTAGTGAGTCCAGGGGGCCTGAGAGCCTCCTTGGTTCCTAGAATCGTGGGACTGGCAACCCTGGGATGATGCAGGGCAGGGAAGGGAGTGTTGGGGGTCCGTGGGGCTGCCTGAGGGGAGGAGGGGCCCGCTGCCCACGTGTGTGCACGCGGGGCCCTGCGTGTGTGCCAACGTTTCCCAGGACCTCATGGATTCCCTGCCCGGCTCTGCAGGAGGCCGGCAGTGGAGCCCTGTGTGGCCCTAGGCATCCTCTCCCTGTGTTGATGCGGCCACCCCCCAAAACAGTAAATCTGGAAACGTGAGGCCCCAACAGTTCGGAGGGAAGGGACATCCAGAGACGCACAGAGTCCACGTCTCTACAGTGGATCGACAGTCCCAGCCCAGACAGCTGGGAAGACGTGTTGGCTGGGTCCTGAGGGCAGATGTCACCTCCACAGCTACAGAGCACGACAGCCAGGCACACCACCCTGAGTAAGGAGTCACCCCCGTACCCCTACCGTGACCCTGGCGGGGAGAGCTCAGAGGCCCACAGACGGGAGGCCGTGTGTCTAGGATGCGGGGACTACTCAACAAGGAAGCCTGGTGGGGACTTGACTCGTGGGCTGGGCTTGTGCTGCTGCCCCGCCTGGCAGCACGAGGCCAGAAGAGCATCAGGGGAGGGGGCACAGCCAGATGCAGCCTCGTGGGCAAGAACGCAGGTGCAATAAGGTCACAGCAAACAGCTTCCTGGCTGTGAAATGGGGACAGTTACGGAAGCCCCTGGAGGGCTGCCGGGAGGGGGAGAAGGGGGAGAAAGGGCCTGGTCACGGGGGGTCACTGTCTCCCGCTCTACTCCGTCCTGCACTCCGCAGGTCTCCCTTGCAGACCCAGGAGAGACACGCGCACCCTGGCGAAGCTGCCCTCCGAGGTGGCAGAGGAAGGCAGGCACGAGGTGGGGGATGGCTGAGTTTAAGTTAAACACCCATATGAATTTATTAAATCCAGACTGTGTTAAAGGGTGGCGGTCTGGGAGGAGGGGCGTGGCGGGGGGACAAGGGACAAGATGATGGATGGCCGCAGGCATCCCGCAGAGGGGCCCCAGCCGCCCCCCCGCCTGGGCACCCCCCTCGGCAGCGCCACGTCGGCTTCACCATGATTCCCAACGCTGCTGGGCTGGCAGGGCGAGATGGCTAGAAACACAGAGGGACACACGGACAGACGGCGCCTCCACAAACAACGTGCCCCGGCCTGCCCCGGCCCCCGCAACACACGCTGGGCTCTGGCCCACGGGGGCCTCCTGCCACCCTGGCCCCATCTGTCCAGGGAAAGGGCGACAAGGAGGGGAGGCGAGGGGGCCGGGGCCGCGGGGGTGGTGGTCACCAGGAGCCGGAGCGGAAGAGGAGGACCAGGGGCGGCTAATCCCTTTTCTTGTCCTCTGCTGGCTTTGGAGGGGCTTCCTGGGGCTCGGTGGCAGAGCTGGCCCCCCGGGTGGGCTCGGCGGGCGGGGGCGTGGAGGCCTCCTCCCTGGCGGCGGCGGTGGTGGCTGTGGCAGGGGCCGGGGCGGGTGGGGGTGGGAGGGCCCCTGCTGCTGTCGGGGCCTCGGCCACGGGGGCGGCTGCCGTCGGGGCCTCGCCACTCATGCCAAACTCGTTCACCCGCGTGGGGTCGACGCGGTAGATCCACCGTTGGTAGAGGTAGATGAAGAAGACCACATCTGGCGGGGGGGGGGGGGGGGGGGCGGGGCCGCGGGCGTGAGCGTGAGGGGGCGGCCATGGCACCCCTCAGACCAGGGCCCTGCCTGTGCCCGGGTCTGGCGGCGGCCTCCCGCGCCGGCCCTCCCGCCCGCCCGCTGGACCTCACCGTCCCGCAGGCAGCCGATCCGATACATGACGGGCATCTTGATGACAAAGGCAAACAGGTCGTCAATGAAGGTGTTGAGGGCCTTGTAGGTGAGCATGCGCCAGGGCAGGTGGGCCACAGACTTGAGCTTGTAGTTGATGAAGAGCTGGGGTGTCATGGTGATGAAGCCTGCAGTGACGGGGAAAGGGACGCCCGTGAGCAGAGGAATGGGCGTCCTGACCCCCGACCTCTCTGGCCGCCTTGCCGGTCTCGCCCTCCGCACTCCACTCCAGCACCACCACCCCCCCACCACTCCCGCGCCCAGGCACATCTCACCACAGCTCCCTCGCCCCACCCCGGGCAGCTTGCAGGCCTCAGTTTACACATCATGCCCCGAGAGGTTTCCCCAAACCCCTTTACTTCGACCCCTTCGCGGCACCCGCTGTAACTCGCCCGTCTGCTTGTTGACTCTGAAGGGGCCCCTGAGGACAAGGACATACCGAAACATGCCGTGCGTGGCCTCCAGAAAGTCCTCGCTGACCCCCACGTTGGACCAGGCTCCCCTCACCCCCTTCAAGGCTCCTCACGCGCCACCCCTGCCCACCCAGGGCTGTCCCTGTCTGGGGAGGAGTCCCTCCCGCACCGGGCCGTGAGCATCAGGAGGGCAGGGCCGGGCCTCCTGGACCACCGCTGGGCACCAGCAGGGCCCGGCGTGGGGCCCGGGAGCGTCTGCGGCGGGTGCCCCGGGAGGCTGGCTCACCGAAGGTCAGCAGGAAGCCGTAGAGCATGCTGAGCACCCAGGAGTACCAGCCCTTGTGCTCCAGGTACAGGAGACTATAGACCGCGTAGCAGCCCAGGAGCGGAAAGAGGATCCACGACAGGTACCGGAACGCCATCTGCGGGGTGCGGGGCAGGGCTGGCACCCGGCTCCCCACCCTCACCCACCCACACCCGGTCCGGCGGGCCGGGCCAGGGGAATTTCCAGGTGGCCCCGGGAACCGTGGACTCGCACGGGAAGTATACACGGCAGGCGCGGAACACCGGAGGGTGTGACGCAGGCCATAAAGAAGGGCCCCGCCAGTGGGCGGGCAGATGCCCCAGCCCCCCACCCGCTGCCCATCTCCTGGGCCCCCCAAGGGCATGTGGGTGCTTGGAGACCCTCCCCGGGGCCCACCGTGGAGGACACTCACATCATCATACACTTTGGTAGAGGACTCGATGTACGTGGACTTGTCTTTGAAGGTCGGGCGGGGGAAGAGTCCTGCCACCTTGTGCTCCCGGTCCAGCTGCAGACGGGGAGGGAGGCCGTGGTCGGCTGCCACGCTGGCTCCCACCCCCACCCTTCCTCACTGTTCCCAGTTCCCCTGTCCCACGTGTGACCCAAAAAAATCCCCTGGTGTGAAAATCCCCTTGGTCCTGGGAGTGCAACAGGCACTGGGAAACCCCCCAGGGGCCAGCTCCAGGGTCTGGCTGGCGCAGACGAGCGCCATTCCAAGTCCCGGTGGCCCCCAGAACAGCACAGCGGCCCGGCCTTACCCGGACGTCCATGACCTTGGTGATCTTCCAGAGGTCGATGAGGACCCCGATGAAGACGCTGACCTGGACCACGAAATTGGTCTCGTTGTCCAGGATGTAGAGAAGGACCACGAAAGACTGGAAAACGCCGAAGAAGACGGAGCGCACGGACAGGCCCTCCAGAGACTGCCGGCTGTTCCAAAACTGGATGTCTGCACGGGAGGCGGGGGGAAGCTGAGGGGGTGCGGAGCCCCCGAGCCCCTCCTGCAGCTCCTTCAGGCCCCGTCCTCAGACCCCCAACGCGCCACAGTGGCGCTGGGTCTGTCACGGGCAGCGGCGCACACGACGCTCCGCTCCCGTGAAGAGTCTCGTGCCAGAGCGGCAGGCAGGCAGGAAGGACGACTGTGGTCCTTACGGTGGAACCCCGCCCCCGCCCCCGCCCCCGCCCCCAGGGTGCAGTCGGACCGTGCGCACTGCCACGCGTCAGGTGCCGAGGCTGGCCAGGGAAGCCACA